ACTCCTTAATGTAGAAACGGGTTGGGACTTTAGGCACCATATACACGCGCAACAAATGGATGGCCAGATGGAAGAAATGCACGCCGTAAAAACCTCTGGTCTTCTGAGTCTTTCTGACTTATATTAATGTAATATCGATTATATGTGATAAAAACCAGAGAAAGCAGAAATTTCTGACAATCGCTATACGTCACCCTCCTGCTGTCATTAGACCTTAAATAAGACGTGCTTTAATGGAAAATGCAATAATCGTTGTACTAAACACTTCACCTTTTTTTAAACGACATATTAAAGCTTTTAAGAAATTATAGCTTATTATACCTCACGTCTGATTCAATTAAAGTATGTGTAGATGTATACTTATATGTATTGAAAAACGTTGTCTTGCATATATTAGCGTCATTTTTATTTCATTTTCATTGTATTTTTTTATGAAAACGAAAACAGTTGTTCTTAGCACAAAAGGTATTTATAATAAAAAATGTTTTGTGCTGAATGCCTTATGGCCGTTTGTCTGTACTGCATCGCCCGAATATTACATCTATCTAGTCTTTGCTTGAAAACAAACAAAAATGAGATCTTCATCTTAAATGCTTTATCTTGCAGAGAGTGTGAACTCTCCAGGTATCGAAAATCGACCGAAATGTTTTAATTATCTTATAATCTTCCGGTTAATTTACATTGACGTAATTATCATCATGCCTTAATTCTCGGGCTGTGAGTGATTCAAATAATAAATGAATTCAAAGCTAATTTTGCTCGTCCTAGAGAAAACTGGAAACTCAAAAAATGCATATCATTGCTCTGAGTATCCGGTATTTAACATTCGTTATTTGACAAAACGTGCTTTTAGCGATTCAGTTAACCTTAAAGCAATTTAGGTAGAGAGAAAAACAACATTTCCAAAAAGTTTTTTTTTGCAAAGTCAAATAAAACTAGCAATCCAATCAGTTATTTCGAAAGCAAATAGACGACGAATCATGATCATTGTTTACTTTTCTAGAGTTAACAACAACGTGTTAAAAATAAAAAGCTGCATTCAAGCAAACCTCATAAAAATTATTGCCTTTCCTTATGAATTTTGTTAATTAATTTGAAAACGCGTTCCAAAAATAATCGCTTGTTTTTAATAATAACTTTTTTCGAATAAATTTCTGCACGAAATGCTTGCTATATTGAACCCAAATAAGAACACTGGGGAAAGTCCGTCGTATTAGGTGCCCTATACTAATGGCCTCTTACAATACTTTACTGACATATGCTATAAATTATAAAAAATTATATTGAGTTACACAACAAACGTTCCCTTATCATAGGCACTACCAACTCTGAACTGACGCGGCCTAAAGTTGATAAAATTTTCATTTGTGCATATGGTCGAAATATACCACAGTGGATTAATGGGTTCAATCGATTTCCTAGGCCAAGTTCCATTATAAGTCTAAAAATTACATTAGTTTAGTATGCCGAAACTCTAGTGTACTCAACGATTGTCGGGCAGAAATTTTGAAACTTTTCTCAAAAAGCGACCAATAGGGTTCGTTCTTGCGACAAAACGAAATTATTCTGCGTAGATCTGTATAATAGAAGGTGGATCTATTTTTAGTCGTTCAGCGAATTCAATAACTCTGTCAGTATAAATTGTTAATTCACTTCGTCTTTTAAGTATCACAAAGCGATGCGATTCATGACCTAATAAAGTTATAAATAAACATCTGCACAAGCAAAAGGTAAATGGTAAGATGTGACGTCCCTTATATTTCAGTTATGTAATTTATTCAGTTAAGTTTTAAGGTAAGAAGTGACATTATTCCTTTTGATGACTTAATCCGTTAAAATAAGTTGTTGCTTTTTCTGCGGCTTCGGTTTAACCTTTTTTTAGCATTATTAATGTCATTAAATTTTTTGGGCGGACGCGTCAACAGTGAACCGCGGGAAATTTTTGGATGTGAAGCTTCGTATCATCCGTTGGACATGGTGGGAAACGAGCAGATGACTTTCTATAAAATCCACGTGATTCACTGCATCGCTTCCATTTTCCCTAAAGAGTATACCGGCATCTCCATATATAATGTACAAACTAAAACTCGCTTATATGTGTCTAACAATCTGGTAAATTAATTTCGTCGACTTAAAGCACTAAAATGTGTTGGGTATATTATCAGCTTGTTACCAAATGTGGGAGGACATAGAGACTGAGTGTTGATTTTCTAACACCTAAATTGAATCAAAAATATACTGCTTGACGCCCGTTACAAAAATTCTTGGGCATACCACAAAAAATATATATATATAAACATCTTCTCTGATGATGAATGCAATTAGAAAGAAATCCAGTTTTAAAAAAAAATAGCTTCGCCCGCAATTAAGGATGAATTAAAAAACGTTAGCGGATGTTATTCCAAACAATCTTAAATAGAAAAGTTTATGTATGTGTATCCATAAATTCTTTCTTTTTCAAATGTTGGATTTATGTAAACTGATTCAGAAAATTTTAATACCATAAATAAAGTAATGTACCAACAACAGAAAAAACATAAAAAAAAAGCAGCAGCAGCAGAAGATAATAACAACCACTTTATACACAACAAAGTCTATAATGACCCTGAACAAGGCCAACACAACGGCTAAAAAAATGTTATAGCGAAAAGAAGAAAGGCGAATAGCAAATCATAAGACAAAAAAAAAAACACATTTTGTCGAAAGCGCAACGTTAACACTATATTAACAATAATAAAAACAACTTAATAAAAGAAATGATTGAAAATTTGTTTTTAAATTACTTACCAAATGCCAAAGGCCAATCATAATGGTGGCGGTGTGAACATGTAGACCAAAACAACATGTCCACTCCTTATTGCGTTGTAACTGTTGACGAGGACCCATTTTTAAACGAATTCTAAGCATTGCCCGGCCACAGGCAAGCAAAATGTTATTATCTTTTCTTTCTAGTTTTACTTTATTATACGATTTTTTTCGAATTTAGCAAAATAGGAATGTGTATATAATGTACATTGAGGGCATGAACAATGAAAATCTGTAAAAGATTAAAAATTTTTAACACTTTTTTCTTTATATACATATGTACAAATATGAAATGTATATTTATTTTAAATGTAGATAACTTATAACCAACACATGTACAATCATCAAATGTAAAGTACCACGTATGTAGGCGGAAGTGAGTAGCGAAGAGAAATACAAACTTTTCAAAACAAAAACGCAATTAATCCCTTATTTCTGATAGTAATCACCTTTTTTAACAAAAGATGATATTTATTAAAATTTCTCTGGCTTCTTCAAAAAAACTTCTTGAATTCTTGTCTGTAGATCACGAAATTCACGAAATAACTTCACTGAACGGAATGAGAGGAATGGCCATCGATGATGTCAACTTGTAGATATGCATTCAATTAAAAAGATATTTGCTCGCCGTTCTTCATTTTAGCGCTTTTAAGTGAATGCGTCGAAGTTTTTACATGTTTTATTCTAACGAAATCGTAGAAAAAGGCTTATAATATTAATTTAGTCATAATCGCAAATCTTTTTTGCTTACGTTGAAAAGTTAGTTAAAAGGAAATAAATAAGGGAGAAAAAGGCTGTAACTTAGGTAGCCCTCTTTAATGTAATTAAATTTGTTCTTCTTCTTTGTCAGTGTTAATCAATTTGCAAAAAACGTATTTCGTGTTTCACTTTTTTTACTATTTTATGGAGTTAGGATAGGAACCGCAACTACCAAGTCAATCTTCGGGGTCCAATTTTCATATGCATTAGAGTTTACTCTGGTCTTTCAATGAATTTTTGGTCGGTTAAAGCCACACCAATTGGCGCTTAATTGGGCACACATCCATTAGACTGCGGAACTCACCTCGCTGTCCATCTTTTTCTCCGGCACTTCTTCCTAACCAACACTATGTTACACGAAAAAGGGGCATCCCCTGAGAAGCTGTTTGCCGATTGAAACAGCTAATAAATTAAACACTACGAAGGCCAGTACAGTGAAGCGCCATTTTCGTTTTAGGCTTAACGTTTTAAGATGTTTAATCATTTTTTGTATTTATTAATTCATTATCTTTTAAATATATTTAAAATGAAAGCTAAACATATATAAATTTCTATAAAAATAATTATTAAGCCTTGAAAAGAGATCACGAGTATTGAAATTTTTTTTTGTTTATTTTGTTAACTCACTTGTTTCTAGCCAATTTTGGTTAGTTTTTATTATTTTAGCAAAACATTGAAAATTACATAACATACCAAAGAAAGTCTTACAGGTAATCACGTATAAAAAATTTTATTTTCACCGTTGTAATCAGCTGTTTGGCAAAAACGGTTGAAAGCGAAAGCTAATTTTCAATTATACCCGATTAGCCCTCGTATGTACGATAAATGAAAAAAATTGTCAGCTTTCGCTGTCATGAAAGACAAAAGTCGTCTAAAAAATAAACAGTGAATCTATATGATCATCCACTATGATAGGATTATTCTATCTTCATGCTTTTTTTCGTAATTGCTTTCAAAAATTAATCTCGAATTTTGTTGCGGAAGTGTTGCTAACTTTAGTGTACTATTATTCGAGATTTGGTTGTTTTATTGAATTTTCAATATACTTAACTTTATACGTCCATATATCAGCTAAACACGGGGCTGTTATAGTACTGACAATATCACAAAAGAAAACTTAAAAAGATAAAAAATTGAAATATTTATTTATGGCAAACAATTATGCAATACCATCTTGGTAAGTGTGGCCACGTTTCGTATCGTGAAGAAAACAATCACACTACCAGTGATTCATTCAAGGGCTGCAAAACCTCCTACTGGTCTTTTTTCATTTTGCAATGCCGACGGCAATTTGCATTTTGCAATGAATATGTTTAACAGATTTCGTGAGTTACAAAGCTCTTTTAACAGATTTCGTGAGTTATAAAGCTGGCGGTTTTGCAAATTAAACGATCTGGCAATTTAAGTTGTTAGTTGGGCACTCAGCTATTTTTGGCAATTTTTTTATTTATTATAAGCGACTCTGTGCTTTGGCTTTCAATGTAATTTGAAGAACATTTTCGAATTAAAATTATAAAATTGCATTTGTGACTGAAAGGCGGAAAAATTGAAACGATTTTAATAGGAAAAAAAACTACGAACGAAAAAAACGATTTTAATATAAAAAAAAACTAAATTGCCCAAAAACTCGAGAAAAAAAATGTTTCGTAGTCATTTGCTTGGTGGCGCTTGGAATAAACCATGGTTGGAGTTGTGCATACCGCTCATTGCAAATGGATATTAAATAAAAAGGGACAAAATGAAAATGTACCATCGATAGAAGAAATACAAAAAACCTTAGTGATGTTAGGAGATAAATATCAAAAATTTATAAACTTACATCACTTAATCAATTCAGAATTTCACGCTGACAAGAATATAAAACCTTTATAGTGTCCCTGAAGCTTCCTCTTCTGTGCAAAGTACATTATAAAAAAAATAAATAAAATGAGTATATACCAATCTTTCGGTAGTGGATATAAAAATTGTACATTAGTATAATGTAAACATAAATTAGATAGACAATTTTTAAATTTGTAATAAATCGCCTTTGGTTCCTCCTGCACGTTGATTTCTTTTTTTTTCTGTGTGTACACGTACGTGCAAAACCATGCCTTCCTATAATGTTTTGTAAAAAAAAAAGTATGAAAATTTTTGTAGTCATTCCTTTGACACTTTTTACAACCAAATTATTCACGAGTTAGCATTACATTTCGGGAAGACAAATATGCTATAAAACATTGTTATTAACTTTCTCCTTTCATGTTCCTTCATCAAACACCACGGAGTTACCAGACTTATATTCGACACTGCGGTCATTTAGAAATATACAGAAATGCAAATCTATCCATTTCTGTATAGAAAAAATAATTGTTTTCGCTTTATTAATTGGATCTTACTTCAAAAAAGTCATATTTGGAAATAAGCTTTTCGTTTTTGCTGCACTCTATTAACGTAAAGCTGCAATAGAGATGCCACATAGCAAGAATTTTACGGAGCAATTCATTGGGGACTTTCGCCGACGGCTTTGCAATGGTATTACGTTCTTTCTGTAAATAGTAGAAAATTTAACGTTGGCTCTGCAAATAGCAGAGAGTTTAAAGTTGGCTTTGCTTGCCTACCTTTAGGTGTAATCATTAATTGTAAATAATTAATTGCGTCTATCTCCAGTGGTCTAGTAATTGAGATTGCTTATACGTCCTGTTAGAATTTCTTTTTAGTTTTATCTTCTTTTTGATGACGAAATTTAGTTATATATGTTTATAGAGAGAGATAAATGTTTACAACATTCATACAATCAATGCAATATTGGAATATTATAAGATTTTTGAAGACTTTCCGCGCGGAACCGAATTAACGAGATGCAATGAAAAAATGCGGAAGTTATTGGTAAAGGTTACATCCATCACCAAGTTACTGTTTCTTATATGGCACAGTCCCTTTAATCACACTTTAAATTATACATCCATACATTTTTAAATCTTTGGCAATTTAGTAATTCTGATATAGACCGATGATCGTCTTTAACATGTCGTTTTTATTATGTCTGCATAGGGTTTTTTCAAATACATGCTTCGTTTATTTTCCAAAAAATCTACTTTGCGTCCTTCTTAAAAAAAACTTTTTTTTTCCCTTTATTCTGCTTTCGCACCTGCTTCTTTTACCGCGTTGAAATAAAGCACATAAAAAAGCGCAACTGGAATTTCTTAATATATTTATTAACAGATTTCTCATTGGCTACTTTACATGCAAAATCCAAGTAGTGGTTGCTATAATCATCAATTGTGGTGTTTTAGATAATGAAATAAATCTTTATTATTTTAACCAAAATATATTTTGTATAAATATGTTCTGCATATAAAATATTCATCTGTAAACACTGAAATTTTTTAAATGTTAATAGAAAATTTTGTACCTATCGTTTTGTTTATCGGGGATTTTTTCTTCTATCAAAAAAAAATTGTGAACAAATATTGATAATAATGGATAATAGATAGGGTGCTTTTTCGATCTCATTTTTAATTTATTTAACTTCGTAAGGTAATCGAGTGTAATCGGGCAAAGTAGTTGGCGCAGTTAACAAGCGCTGCTGTTAATCACGATTGGCACGTATTTGCTTATACAGTGTAAATCGCATTCCAGATAGCGATTTGGATAACTAAAAGTGTAGGTACACACACACAACAATAAGAACAACGTAACGCAGATAGTTTTACTATCGCACTATTTATATGGAAATTGTAACGACTCATCGAGGCTTACTCCAGTATATAGTTGGTGTAGCTACACCATCGGGCACATCTTTAAATATGCTCACAAAAATCATATATACAAAATTCACGGGATTGAAGAAAATAAACATATATGCGTTGATTAGCCAAGGAGCTAATAGTAGATGGCGTTTCTATTATGAAAATTGCAATCAACAAATTATCCTAAACATGATTATTTCCGCTTACCTTAACAAATAGACTGCGGGGTAATTAATTACGTAAGCAGGCAATCATCGCCGTTATCACCTGGTATTTTTTAGGAGATAATTGATTATTGCTAAGAGGCTAATCATGTACCATCGTTGCCAGCTTTCCAATGCTTCCGCTCAACAACTGAGAGAAACGCAAAAAATGAGAGAAAATTACGTAGAATTTTCGTGAAACTGCATTTAGACCATTTTAAACCGATATTTCCAAAAGATTGTACCTAATTTTAAAGACTTAGGTTTCTTCACATTTCACAGATGTAATTTCAAACATAATTTTTTTTTCTTTAATTTTTGAGTTAATAATTCATTTGTAACAACTGTGCGTGTGTATTTTTCTTTTGCAGCTGTTTTTTCACAAAAGCAACTTTAAAAGAGAGATTTGCAGTAACTTTGTTTAATTTTTACAGCAAATTTACTGCCGCCAGATAGAGGATAATTGCCATAAAATTTGAAAACATGATAAGCGATTAGCGAAATCTCGTGGCCTCGTTATCGCCTACTTCATTGTCTCCTGCCTACATGCTTACCCTCTTTGTGCTTACAAAGAAGAATTGTATTGCTAGTTAAATGAGTCGTTATATAATCAAGGAAATAAACATATATTTTACGTTCCGTCTCAATTCCAATACATTTTATTTTGAACTGGACTCTGATTTGATGTGTTGGACGGGAAGATTCCATTAAATGAATTTACTTGTATTATGATATATGCTATTTTAATAATTGCGCTTAATATTTTTTAAGCTAACAAATTTTAAATTATGCGGCAAATGCAGCTATGCTTGTTAAATAAGCATGAACGTATACAACTTTTTTCTTGTAATGAAAGCAAACATCTGTTTAAAAAAAGAATAGCCGTTGTTGACATAACTCTATACAAATTTTCCTTATTGGAGTTTTGTGCGTATTCAAAGTTTTGTTGCGGTGATTGATAATTTAAATTGATAAGTTTTGTAAATAGCATATAAATTTTATTATTAAACATCCCGTAAATTTTTTAAAATGGTTCTAACTAAGGAATATCGCATCTGTATGCCTTTGTCGTGTGAAGAGGTATGTGTTTGAAAAATTCCATACTCCATAGCAAATATTAAATGAAAATAATTTTTCTTCATTCCAGTATCAAATAGGTCAGTTGTATATGATTGCACGCCACAGTTACGAACAATCTACAAACGGTGAAGGTGTGGAGATCATAACTAATGAGCCGTGTGAGGATGAGACATACGGCAAAGGCCAATATACCGAAAAACGTATACATTTGTCAAGGCAAGTATGACATAATTTATAAGTTTGACGCAGGAAATTTAGGTTCACAACGTAGTTCAAATTGACAACGAAGCTTTTGTTATTTTAGATATTCTTTGTGGATTGAAGTAGGACACAAAAAAGGCTTTCGAAAACATTTTATATTAAATTTTTTATATTTGATCCATTTAAGCTTAATATGAATTGAAAACGATTGTTTTTTATGCGTTTTCAAAATATTTACTTTTAATTTAATCTGTTTTACAAAAATGTATAAATTCGCCCTTCTTTGTTAATTTCAGCCGTTTGCCTTTGTGGATTCAGTCGATATGTCCTCGTGTATTTTATATTACAGAAAAATCGTGGAATTTTTATCCCTTTACAAAAACAGGTATGATTTCAAGTACTTTCTCATATTTCGTATAAAAGTCCTCTTACATTATACATCATTGTTCTTCAGATTCATATATTTAACAATAGGACGACGGTTACATAAATCAACAACAAATTTAGGAAACATCACTAACTCAATTAACCGTTCAAAGATAATTATCAAAAAACGATCCCATTAGTTTCCGATCAGGAGTTATTTTTCAATTAAGCATTTTTTTTCTTAAATTCGTACTTGCTTAATCTAGTATCCGGTGCCATACTTGCATATTTGTTTGTAATCCCTTGATTAACTAAGTATACTCGTTTCAGTCTTGCCAGAATATCTTAGGAGATATATAGACCCTCTCTGTGCTCTGCTTTTATGGAAAATTTCGCGGAATATAAAGTATTGCGACTTAAGGCGCTACGTGAAAACTGTGCAATTTCCCCTAGCAACTCCATAACCAAATGCCTTTTATAAAAGGAATTAAGAAACAAAACAATATTTGGCATAAATTACAAGTGTCAAAAGTATATTTAAGCAGTAAGCCTGTCTTGCCAAAAAAGGAGAATACTTACGCGGGAATGTTTTCAAGGCTGATCTCGTTTCAATTTCTTTTTATAAGTTAATTGTACGCCGTGAAAAAAAAAACTAAACTTTTTCTGCCCTGGAGGCATGTCGCTCCTTACGAACTTGTCCCATGGGACTAGCGCACGAGTCATACTACAGATGCAGATCACGTGGAAATTCAATTATTTCAATAGAATAAAAAATGTGAAATATATTAGAAGATCACAGAGAAACAGTTTTTATTTTTTTAACAGAGATACAATTCATGATTACGACTTCATAACATCTAATAAATTTGCTGGCACTATAAATTTATTTAAACATTTATATATAAAAATGGAGATCAAACTAATGTGTGTGTGTGTTTTTTTTTTTTTTCTTAATTTATCTATAAAATTTATCCTTTGTTCTACAATAATCATTCGCTACTAAGAATACACTGTAAGTGTTTTCAATTATTGTTTTTAAGAGCCAATCGATGTTATTGTGTGTCTCTTTATAGTGTTCATTTGTGCCTAAATTGAATATATTGATAAGAACAAAGTACGAAGACAATAATGGAAATTCGGAAAATGTAGGTTTCTGGATTGAAACGACGTTCCTTATTTCGACTTTTTAATAATAATAATTTCCTATCAGAGCTTAAATCTAACTGCGGACCAATTAAAACATCGCCTTGTAGATAATATCGATATAGCCTTTGATGAATTGTCCAATGGAAAACACTATAAGAAAGAAGAAGATCCCAAATTTTTTACGTCCAAAAAAACAAGTAAGCATCAAATAAATATAATTGAACCACGAGTGTTTATTTGAATTTTCTTCTTCTTTTATAAACCCGAAAGAGCGCGGCTGCTTGATTGAAGGTTGGCGCGATGCGGATAAACCAATAATGTGTTCCTATAAATTAGTGGACGTCTCATTTGAAGTTTGGGGGCTCCAGACGAAGGTTGAGGAATTTATACACCGTTCAATACGTGATATTTTATTATTAGGTCACAGGCAAGCATTCGCTTGGATTGACGACTGGTACGACATGTCATTAGATGATGTCAGAGCGTATGAGCATGAAACGCACCAAGAAACTAATAAAAAGTTAAATATAAATAATAAAACAGTAAATGGTAGTTGTAACACCATTGCAATTTTCGAACACCAACCCAATGTGACTAACGGTATCGTAAAGATATTGGATTAATTTTAAACAAAAAAAAAATCATGAATATATGAACTTGAAAAGAAAAATTCAACTCAGGTAATGCGCACAATATTGCACAAATAAAACATGAAATGAATTAATTGATTTGGATTATTTAATTTCTAAGGCAATTTCATTACTATCCACGGCACTCGTCCATAGTTTTTGTAATAATAATAATCATACGCCAATTTTCCTAGTATGAATAAAATCAAACTGGCCAGCACCACGTTTAGTAAGTCGAGAAAATGAATTTTAGTTTCATCCCTTGATTTGCATACATCCTCGCGTGTTATTGACATAACTTTAGATGATTTCAACTCATCTCCATGTTTATAGATGCAGGTTACATTCCACGCATCTTTTAGTATTGCATTATATTTATTCAGAATTTCTCGAAATCTCATGGCAAATTTACACGAACAATACCAAGGATTGTGACTTAACGACAGGAGGCTAGCATGCGGATTATCATCTAAAGCATTGTCTAAAGCGTAAACAGGTATCTGTAAGGTATAAGAGCAAGGCAAGAGGTAAGAAAGCAGTCTCGATGCGTTGTTTGTTCTTACTCACCTTTCTTAGTCGATTTCCTTTCAAGTTTAATAAACGGAAATGTTCAAACCAATAACTGCCTTCTAAAACATCGATGCTTTCTATCATATTATTATCTAAATGTATATCGTCCACATATCTATAATGATCGTTGTTGCGCAAGGGGGAAACGTCGGTTATCTGCATAAATGAAAATATTGTTAACATTCTATTTTTGCCATCCTCTCTTCAAAATTTACCTTATTACCGTTGGCGTAAAAAGAACTGGTATTATCCGGTAAATAAGCGGGCAACCTGTACAAATTCAGATAGGAGCAATTTACAGTATACAACGGAATATGAGACTTCGGTACAATATGATGCATAGAGCAGGTGCAGTTTTTCAAATCTTCATACTTTTGACACGTATGCTTTAGTGCCTTGAAAATTTCGCCTCCATAAATAAATTGAAACAATTTAGTAACTTAATTTAAATACCCACCATTTTGTAATTTATAACGGTCAATAAATGCCTTTCTTTGTATTTACGATCATGACATAATAAATCCCGAAAATCCGTTACGATATCGTCTGTTCCCGATGTTAGCAACCATTTTAAATTTCTTGTACAATTCCATGGATTACCTAAGTCACTATATAGCATTAAAAATGATAACAAAGGTATACGGTCCTCCATTAATCTTATTAACTTACCGTTTAAATAGAAAAATTCAATTGTCTCCGATAATATTAACGGGCTATCCAAGTGCGTTAGTTGATTCCATCGTAAATCTAGTATACGCAGGTTGTAAATACGTTTGAAGGTTTTTGGTCCAACATAAGATAAACGAGTCCATGATATATTAATACTCTTTTTGACATATGGGGAAGTAGGAGATTCAACTTTCTTTCATTTTTCTTCACCATTAAAATCTTACCTGTAGGTAGAACATTTCCGGAAATCGATATGAAATTTCCTTCATAACACCATATTCTATAGATAAAAGTTTAACATTTCGCAATGTTTGTAAAGTTGTTATGGGATTAAAGTATTTGTCAGGCCAACCGCAAAATATGACTCCATCAATTTTTCGAGACTTTTGCTCACTGAAAAAACAGAATTCATATAACCAGTGTAAGAAAGATTTCAAGCGCTTCAACTAGAACCACTTTAAACTTTACATTTGATTGATGTTATACTGTTCTAATCCTTAAAAATTTTTATCAAGAAAATTCCGATTACTTTCCATAGACCCGTAACTTTTTAAAACATTTTTCTTTACCCTTGCAATCTTACTCCTATAATGTTACAAAAGAAAATAAGACTGACTTTTTTTAGCTGAGTGAGCAGATGTACGAAATGTCTCAGTATTATCTTCTTTTTAAGCCTGGAACTTATTATAATTGGTGGGACTTACATTGGCACGGGTTTGCATGTGTGAAAAAGCCATCAGCCCTCAAGAGCAGCGAATATATTCGATTGACCATAACAGTTTCAGCCGATCTTGATACACTTGTTTGTATGCTCGCCCATTCTTCGATTGTTGCGGAAGTTCCAACACTTAAAAAACTGAGATAAAAAGCTGAATATGTATTGTTGACTAACAACCCAAGTTTCTAGTCCGAAAAAATTTTTTGTTTTTTTTTTTTGCATATGAGAAGCCACTCATATAATTGCTGGCACGGCTGTGGCCAGGAATGGAAAGAGGGCGAGATGTGGCCGTAATCGATCTGGCGTGTGCCCAATCGGTAAGTGTTACGTCCTTGACTGACTGGGCACACACTATAACTAGGACCAAAGTCAAATCTACCACATTGAAATTTGACCCCAGCGAACACGGACTCCGTAGTCGTGGGTCGTACCTAATCGGCTAGTGATGCAGATGTTTGATTTAAAAATAGAAAAATCACGCACAACGGGAAAGACCCCTGCTGGTAAATTTTTCCAAAGGCATGCATTGTAATTAAAATAGGACCAGGCGCCGTAGTGTGCCGTGGCAGGCACTTCCAGGACGGGTGGTGGGTAGGAACGCTGAGAAAACCTCGTAATCCTGTCAAAGGACTTAAGTGGTCGACAAAACTATTTTATTTCTGTAGGAAACTTGGCCTGGATTTACCAATACATGAGCGCTACACATATCACATACGAAAGGTCGTCACTTCTTCTATGTGTTAGAAGACAACATTGTGTTTTGGTTCATTCCATTACTTTGACTTCATTCTGTGGTTTTTTCTTTGGTGTGCCATTCATCGGGCCGTATATTGATGCTGGTGAGTCTCATGACAAAGGAGAACCGGTGACACGGTTCTTAATGAACACCAGGAAGAGTGAAAAGGAAAAAACAGAATTTTAATGTGGATACTAGTGGCTTGGAACTTGTTTGAGGCAAATCTGTCGGTTATTGAACAATTATTCAGGAAATTTGATATAAATCAAGACGAATTCGAATCGAAATCAATCGCGACCAGCTTGGAGACTAGAGCACTATGCCATACTCTGTCGATTGCCTTTGATATGTCGAGTGCCTGAACTTTGACACGCAAATAATCCAAACCAACTAACTGACACGTCCATGATAAACAAAACACCTTTGCACTTATTGAAGCTGTACACGGTAAGCTCAATTAAGAAATTCGTAATACGTGGACAGTGTGAAAAATATTTGCTGTATGTATCGTTCTCTTCCTATTACCAAGATCAGAAAGATTTTTGCACCTTGAACATAACATAGTTGCCCAAAGTATACGACAAGTAAAGTACAATGTTCCTAGTTTAAGTAAAGCGAATTCGTACCTTATAGTCTTTAAATTGCTAACGCCTCCTTGACAACGTAATATTGCAAACTTGGTATAACGCGTACAAGTTCCCACAGTAGCCTCAGATTCCTTCTTCCAGTTGTCGCACGTTAGATTATGTTGATGATAATTTGGCGTCTGGCTGCAAACGAAAAGGCTAAGGGAACAAAAACATTCGCATAAGTATCATTGAAAGCAAATTATAGCTCGTAGAAAATCGATCTCTCTAGCAAAGTGGTTATGATATATAGGCATACCTTTGTGAATGCTTTTCATGGCTTTTCAGGCTTTGTGCTGAAGCTTTTGCTCTAATTTCTTCCAAGTAAGAATAACTACGTTACGTCAACAAGCCCGATAGACTACCTAAGTTCCCTAATAAGGTTTGTACCCAGGTAACATCGGATTATTGTGTAAAATAACTCCAAGATACGATCATTGTAATCTTTTCGATAAGTGCTTAAGTAAGTTCTTGCCAGTTATATCCTACAAGAGCGAGAATCAAGGTAATCAAGAGAGTATAAGGTGTTTCATTAGTCGTGGCTACGCTCCATTATGATTTGCTTCTTTTGAAGTTACTTTTCGACCTTTCCTCAAGTGTCTTTTGATATTTCAGCCCGTCAACGTCCGAGTGATAAGCTTATAGAGTTTTCCAGCAGCAGTGATAACGATCGATTATCATATGCTTGTTTTGAGGTCACTTTACGAATTTCGTGTAGGTGTGTTTCGATATCGTGCTTAGTTGTAATCGTTCCCATCGCGAAATAATTGCAAAAATTGTGGTTGGCGCAAGCTCTCAGACGCGAGAGTGTAAAAGGAATCGCAGTTGCAGATGAGAGTATTAGTGAGGATGGGAGGTATTTCTATAATCCGTTTCTGATGGAATAGCGATTGTTCGACTTGGATGATGTTTTCAATATGTAATCGCAAAAATTTGATCAAGTTAATCGGAACGAGATATAGCGAAAGGTGGTTCAAATCACAAAATTTTAAGTTTACGTCCTTTAATTAAAAGCGAAGTTGTGCAAGTTGTGCGCGTTGTCTTGTCTGTTGAGATAATCTTTTTTGTGCCCTACTGGAACAGCCACCGCAGCGCAATGCGCTGCAACTGCCCCTTTTCACTATCGAGCAAATGACAATTATGTAGGGTACTTTTATTCGACGATATTTGTGCGAGCAAATGTCGTATAAGAGAGTTTCATTCTAACTTTGCGTTCTGAATTAACTTTACAATCGTGAGGTATTGCGAAAATGTTAAAAAATTGTTCAAGTGACTAGATCATCTTACGCTATATCATAATTACGGGCCTGCGAACGTTACATGTGTCAGTGTAGTCCTTTCAGACAAGGACGTGAAAGGACTTAAAGAAACTATATTTTACTATGGGGAAGGTCACTGCAGAAATGCGAATTCGACAGATGTTAAGCTTTGAAACTTTGAACAGAACGTTTAATAATTTTCTGAAATTTTTAACAAAATTATAGAGTCTTTCGACATTGATGCTTAAGACTTTTTTCTATTTCTCAAACTCAAAACGATACTTAAAGAATAACATCGTCCCACTCTAACGGTGAAGACGAAATTTCTGATGGAGTTTCAGACGTTGTTGCAATGTTTCCTAATAAACA